CGGCTCCTAACAGATCTCATGGCATGGAAATGGTGCCTCTGGCTCATGTGGTTAGCGCGGTAATTATACTCAGGATTTTTTTCCATGACCCCTTGGGTTTGAACAGCATGAAGACTACCAGGATTTTCAAAATTTACTCAAATCATGTATTTTATTGCTGTACTCAATCAGGTTAAAGCGTGACTCCGATCCTCAAATAATGTGTCGACCACTGTTTTGCTTTTTGGTTTCACGTCTGAATTAAAATTTGTTGCCTTAGTTGTGTTGATGGGTCATCCTCGTAACCGTTGGCTGTACTTTGGGTAGAAAACTAGCAGATTTCTATTTGCATCGTGCCTGTTGCATCTCGGCAATAATTTGAATCATGCCACCCCTTTCCTCCGTTTAGGTTTCAGGTATTATACCAGTGTGGCGTCTTCATTTCACGATCTTCGGTTCGCCTTATCCAATTTAAGCGAACGTGGATAATGGCAGTGTTGCAGGTGGGACTATATGTTCGGTATTTATGAAAAATATTGCACTCTGCCTACTGTCTTCGCAATAGTAGCCAATATGTATAGGGTGTGAAAGCATACTATCAGAACTATTACAAATAGGTCATTTAGACAACGAAGGAGCGTCCGCTGAGCTATATTTATTGCATTTATTCTGTTCTAAAGCTCATTTTTCTTTTATGTACCGTCCACCTTTCATTGGCAAGCGGCGCGTTGCAATTCCGGCTGGTATATGGTGTCGGCTGTGGATTGGCCATTAGTTTTTCATACTAATGATTTGCCCGAACATTTAACTTCATTTGGAATATAAAAGTCCTGTAAACAGTCGGCAGACCAATAGAACTGTTAACAAAACGATCTTTAGCAATATAGCCTACGGCTGAGTTGCCAAATTGTCACTGTCGATGTGTAACTCGGGACCAGTTTGGGTCAATCCTAATTGGTGATAAGCTTCTCCCAGTTCGTTGCATTTTCCATAAACGCATTTTAATTATTAAATGATAGGTTTCCGTCACCCCCTAACAAATGAGAATATTATAATCTATCACACG